GGTTGGTCATCTGGATGTCTTCTTTGGAGAAGTGTCCATTCATGTCTTTTGCCCATTTCTTCACATGAGCCCTTTGGTTTACTTGTTTTTTCGGTGTTGAGTTTGATAAGTTCTCTATAGATTTTAGATCCTAACCCCTTATCTGATATATCTCCTCCCATTCCATTAGTTGCCTTTTAGTTTTGCTGATTGTTTCCTTCGCTGTGCAGAAGCTTTTTATTTTGATGAAGTCCCAATAGTTCATTTTTGTTTTTGTTTCCGTTGCCTCTGGAGACGTGTTGAGTAAGAAGTTGCTGCAGCTGAGGTTAAAGAGATTTTTGCCTGCTTTCTCCTCGAGGATTTTGATGGCTTCCTGTCTTACATTGAAGTCTTTCATCCATTGTGAGTTTATTTTTGTGTATGGTGTAAGAAAGTGGCCCAGGTTCATTCTTCTGCTGTCCAGTTTTCCCAGCACCACTTGCTCAAGAGACTGTCTTTTTTCCATTGGATATTCTTTCCTGCCTTGTCAGAGATTAGTTGGCCATACGTTTGTGGGTCCATTTCTGGGTTCTCTATTCTGTTCCATTGATCTGAGTGTCTGTTTTTGTGCCATGTGGTATCACCTTCTGATGACCTAGGAGTTTCTCATGTGATGCTCCTGCCGCCGTGGCTGGATTTCAGTGTGATCTGGGTACTGTTTCCAGCCACATGGCCTGCAAGCCTGATCCCTGGCCCTCTCAGACATCCTTCAAGCTTCCTAACAGCCTTTAAAAAATCCCTTGTTGGCTAAACAACAGTGGTTGGCTAAAAGCATGGAGTCTGGGGCTGGGCTGCCTCGGTATGGTTCCCAGCTCTGCCATTCTCTATCTTTCTGATCTCAGACAGGTGACTTAACCTCTCTGTGCCTCAGTTTTTCCTCGTCAGTGAGATGTTCCTCAGAGAGTTGTTGGGAGGATAAAATGTGTAAAGGCCCCTGGAAATGTTCCTGGCATGTAATACTACTACATGAGTATTTGCTATCATTATTCAGTTGTTTGCTAAGAAACCCAAGAGATACCAAACTTGAGGAACTTGCAAGTTATATCTGGGACCAGGACACTGGAAGGAGTTCTGGAGTCAACTCAGCTCACAGTCAAGGTCTTCAATTGATTTAACTTCTCTGAGCCTCATTTGCTTCTTCTATAGGAATATATTGACACCTAAATTCCACAAGACTGTTGTGAAGGCTAACAGAAATCCATACAGAACATGCCAGATACTTAGCTGCACAGAAGGCTGCTCCATGAATGGTGGCATCATTGTCCCGGTTATTGTCAATTGATCATTATTAATTGTCACTATTAATATAACTAAAAATTAATAAATGTGTCAGGTCCCTGGATCTAAGCCAAGTCCTCATCCCTCATCTGAAAGAGCAATGGTCCCCAGAGGCTGAAGGGTTTGAAGATAAGGATAGAGACGTCAAGCTCCTTCTGTGCAGTCCACTCACAGTTGGGGCATCCAGACATGAGCCCTTTGGAAAATCTAGTTGGGTCATGAGAGGTGGAGATCAAAATCCACAGGAATTTAATCCAAAACAAATCAAGCCTTTAGAACTAACTTCTAGTTTTCAGAATTATAGGAAATAGAGTAAAGTAAACCATAAGGAAATAATCAAGACAAATATATAAGACAACTGACTTGGTCTTTTTTTTTTTTTCCTTGAGAGAC